CTTTTTCCTTGCCTCCCCCCCCTCCATTTTGAGTGCCTGTTTTTTTTTTTTTTTTAATTGTGATAAAATAAAATTTAGCACCTTACCTGTGTGTGTATGTGTGCGCGCGCGCGTGTGTGTGTGTGTGTGTGTGTGATGAAGGAAAGTACAGCTTTATTGTTAAAGCGCAGAACAAGGAGAGTAGACATCTCAGGCTAAAAGTCCTGGTGTTCCCGGTGTTCCCACCTTAACCTTTTCTATTTTTTGAGAGAAATTTTTGCTGTAAGGCACACGCAGAGACGAAAAGTGAGACATCACTCCCACCCCCCAGGGAGTGGCCACGCCATAATCCCTTCTCCTCCATTCTCCTCTTGGGATTTTGGACGCACACACACTCACACACAGTGTATTTCAACCCACCAGGTCCAGGAGTCCAGCAACGTAACCATAATGCTATCTGCTGGTCCCAGCTACCGTAACTTTTTTTTTCTTTTTAAGAGAGATTTTTGCTATAGAACACATGTGCTTCCCAGAGAGACAGAGAGAAACAGAGAGACAGAAAGCGAGAAATCACCCCCCTCGGGGGGATGACCACACTGTAATCCCTTCTCCTCTGTTCTCCTCTTTGGATTTTGGGCACACACACACATATGCCCGGCATGTTTTAAGCCACTTGGTCTGGGACTCAAACTGCAGTCGACAACGTGGGAGTCCAGTGACGTAAATATTACACAATCTACTGGTTCCCCACCTTAACCCTCTTAAGTGTGCAGTTCAGTAGCATTAAATACATTCGTGCTGCTGTACAGCAACCTCTAGAACTTTCTCATCCTGCAGAACAGAAAGTGTGCACCATTTATCTGCATTCCTCTTCCTACAGTCCTCGCCCTCTGTGACTTCCATTCTAGATTGGGTCTCTGAATTCAGATACTCCAGAAGCCTGGGGTAAGCGTGTCACAGGCTATCTGTCCTTTCGTGACTGCCTTCTTCCTTTAGCATAATGTCTTTAAGGCCTATCTGTGTTTTCCGCATGTGTCAGGATTTCCTTCCCTTTTCAGGCTAGGTAATGTCCATTGTATGTTTCTACGACATTTTTCTTTATGCCCTGGTTTGTTGATGGACACCTGGATTGCTTTCACCTTTTAGCTCTTGCAAATAATGCTTAAGTACATTTCTTATGCATCGAAACCTTACGAAATGCAGCTGGCTCTGATAATCCAGTGGAAAGAGAAAGGAATCTCATTATAAAAAATATTCCAACATTGGGACCAGCAGTTAGTGTAATGGCTATGTAGCTGGACCACAGTTGGAGTCCTGGACCAGGTGGCTTAAACTCACACTGGGCACGTGTGTATGCGTGCCCAAGATCCCGAGAGGAGAATGGAGGAGAAGGGATTGCGGCGTGGCCATCCCCCCTGGGGGGTGATTTCTCGCTTTCTATCTCTCTGTCTCTCTCTACCTTTATGGCAAGCTCACGTGCCCTATAGCGAGAAAAAACTCTCAAAAAAAATAAAATAGTCCAACATTCATGAAAACACATGATCTGTTTTTTTTAAAGTTTATTTTATTTTATCCCTTTCATGAGAGAGAAAGGGAGACAGGTACCCTTGACAGGATCTGACCACGTTGCTGTCTTTTCCCCACTGCTTTCCAGCCAGCCAGGACCAGGGCACATACAGTCATGGCCAGGGTGCTCTGGGCAACCCAGGATCCGAACCCTGGCTCCCCATGTGGCTCCAGTACCGTGCCTGCGTCATCACAACTGGGCCCATGGTTCAATGTTCTTCACCAAATAGAATCTCCTTGCATAACTATTTTTTACTTAGGCTACATTTATTTGTATTTTTTTTGACAGGTTTTTTGCTATCGGGCGCGTGCGCTCACCAGACAGACAGAGAGAGACAGAGAGACAGAAAGCGAGAAATCATCCCCCAGGGGAAATGGTCACACCGCAATCCCTTCTCCTCCATTCTCCTCTCGGGATCTTGGGCACTCACGCACACGTACACGGCTTGAGTTTTAAGCCACCGGGTCCGGGATGCGAACCGTGGCCCACTATGTGGGAGTCCAGCGACATAGCCATTACGCTAACTGCTGGTTCCCTATTTGCATTTCTTGAACACACAGCACTGACTTGGAAAGGGTGCAGAGGAGCGCTGGGTGGCCCGAAGCTGGCTGGGGGTTAGATGCAGAGCCGCCCACAGGCAGCCAGCAGGTCAGGATCTGTGTGCAGGTGGGACTCGTAGGGCGAAGACACTTCTCGCACCAACACAGCGGGCCTTTTGGTCTCAGCCTTCCCACCGCTGCTTTGCCCAAGATCTACCCTTCTTGTAAAAAAAAAAAACAAAAACAAAAAAAAAAACCGATTTTAGCTCACCGGAGGTAATATGACCCTCACTCCCACTCTAAATGAGTGTGGGAATATAGCTTAATAATAGAGGCAAGCCAAAGACATTGCAGGCAGGAAACGAGCCGAGTGGTGCCACCGGCTCTGCTCCCCCCAGCTGTGGGGACTCCGAGGGGACCACCCTGTGCTCTAGGACCATCAGTCCACAGCTGCCTGGCCGATGCTGCCCATCCCTGCCCTTATTAGCTGGCAGTTTCTAATACACCGCAAGCATCACCCTGGGCCATGTGCACCTGCCTTCTGTGCTAAGTCCGGTTCATTTTCCCCTTTCGCATCTGTCCCTCTTGTTTTGGGAGAAGAAAAAGTAAAGGGAGTTTAGGGCACCCCAGTCCTCTGGTGAACCAGTCTCCCCAAGGCGCCAGCCCCGTGACTTCATTACGACGTGCGAACGTGCTGCAAATCGGCCACTTCCTGGAGCCGCTGCCGTGGCAGGCTGCGCTGTTGTGACATGTTCTTCAACACCAGGCTCTGAGAGAGAAGAAAACAAATCACCATCTGCTTCTGATAGGAGGCATCAGACGCTTCCTGTTCGCTATCTGATCCCACGTTTGCAGTCAAGTCCAAAGCTCTCGCTCCCGTGTGGTAAACCCAGTATAGAATTCCACCAGAAACCGAGCCGGCACACGTGTTTCGACTTTAGCAGAACACGCCTCTCGATATTGGTTGAATGTGTGAGACTTTATTCCTAAAATATGGTTCTATCCATCACTATCATCTTCCTGCGATATTTAAAACCGTAAGGGCTTCCCGGTTGTTTTCCTAGAGCCTGATCCGTGACTCCTAAAACGCCCTTGCGGTGAAACAAATCTCTACGCTGAAAACACAGAAGCGATGAAACCCTCCATTTCAGGCCCGAACCTATTTCTAAATTATATCATGATATTTAAAACATATTATATTTAACTGGAGAAACGAGGGTTACCTGTGATGGAAAAGCGAAATGAGCACCCTGTTTTGTGAAATAAAATAGCACTTGTCGGATTTAAAATCCTCTGTGCCCTTCCTCACTCCCTGCCCCAGATAGTGCATGGCAGACTAGGGATGTCAGAGTCTTGGAATTAACTAGACTTTTCAGGATCAGATAGTAGATCCAGACACTCCAGCCCTCGTCTTCTTATGCATGAGGAGAAGCAGAACACAGAGGTAATTCATACGCAAGTGTACGCTATCAAAATTAGCCCACTTCCACGTGGGCTTTCGGAGCTAATCTTCTGCCCAGCTCAGCAGCGACAGCGTCTATACCGTATGTACCTGGCGTTCCTTCTTTGCTCAGGTTACGATGAAGAGAGGAGTCTGGGATTCCACAGAGATAAACGCTTTTCTCCTGTGATCTTTGGAGTTCGCACAGACAGAACGTGCATGTATAGTGATGGTAGTTTCATTCTAATCAGCATCTCAGTGACAACAGCTTCATCGGGCCTCGTGATAATGTATGTCAGCTTCTCAGCTACTGGCAACAGTTGCAGTCCTAGAGTGCAGAGCCCTGATAGTGAATTCACTATTGGAAAAAAGAGAAAGGGAGAGAGAGAGAGAGAGGAGGAAACTTTAATTGGAAGAGGCAGATCTATGTTAACCATGCATTTTTAGATTCCTAGAGGCTGTTCTGAGTTTGAAAAGGCCAATTAATCAAACTCTAGAACTCAGACTCCCCCTGGTCACACGGCAGCCTACGCTCCTGTCTGCCTCCATGAACATGCTCCCGCTGTTTGCCATGACGTTCCACCACCCTAAACCAGGTGTCTTCACCCAGCTGTGGGGTATACGTCCCACTCCTGACTGACAGGGCCTGGGGCTTGCCAACACTCACCTCATCTTCCAGGTCTAATAGACCAATTTACATTAGATTAAAGACAAATTAATGAAATTAAATGTGTGGCCATGGGCATAGACGTTCTTGGACTGTGATGTTCTAGTAATAAGATAAGGAGACTGGTCTAGATGTTTTTTTTTTTTTTTGGAAGAAGTTTCCTCTATAGGGTGCGTGCGCTCGCCAGACAGACGGAGAGAGACAGAGAGAGACAGAGAGACAGAAATCACCCCCCAGGGTGGATGGCCACAC